GACAGCGTCAGCATTTCTTCGTTTTTCTAAAGTTCGCGTTAGGCCATATGATGTAAAACATCGCTTTTTCTTTTGAAAGCTCGTGAACATTGGGTGCAATTTCTAACATGGGAAGCTTCATGCTGTGCCAAAGCATCATCACTATAGTGAAACTCTTTAAGCAACAACTACTGCATTTAAAAACAACTTTGTGTGTTTTCATATGTCTTCTTAAATCCCTTTGGTTTGCAAAAACTTCCGAACACGCAATGCAACTTTTAAGGTGGAAAACTTCATGCTGTTTTAAATTATCATGTTCACCAAATACCTTTGAGCAGGATTTACATTTAAAAGAAGCTTTATGAATTTTCATATGTCTCCTAAAATCCCTCTGACTTGTAAAAACTTCTGAAAGTTCAGTATAGTTTTTAAGATGGGAAGCTTCATGACGTTCCAAATGATCAATTTAAATAAATTTCTTAGGATATTTACTACATTTGTAGCTCCTTTCATGAGATTTCATGTGTCTATTCAAATCACGTGTTTTCGGGAAAACTTGTAAACATATCGCACAAGTAAAATTTCGAAGATGAATCGCCTCATGAACTCTTTAAGTTATCAATGCGAGTGAATCGCTTGAAACATATACCATATCAAAGAGGTGTTTTTTCAATATGTATTTCTATATGCCTATTCAAATCACTTTGTCGAGCAAAAAACATTTCACATTCTACACAATGAAAGAATTTCTCTCCGGAATGGATCTTTAGATGTCGAGTTAAAGTGAACATTTTACCACAGGTGGGACATACCTAAGAGAAAACATGAGAAAACTCGTAAGTATTCGAGCAGCTTAATAACATATATATAAACTTATCTCATACACAAACACTCGCGTACCAAAAATGAAATTTATTAGAATATTGATAATTTATACGGATATACGCATATCTTAGGCTGTAAAGGCTACCCTGGCATTTAATATTAGCCATTTTTCATCACTTTATTTCCACTAAGAACATCATACCCCAATAACATAACCATTAAACATGTAATAAACCTTAAAGAGATTAAAAATACATTTCATAAAATATAGTAAAACCTAGCTTTCTATGTATAAATATATCAGCAATAGTATCATTGGAGATTGAAGGAACTGAAGTATTATCCATTCTGAAAATAAAAACGGAAGCAAGCATACAACGCACAATCGTAAAACTAGTTTACAAGGCACTGTAATAATGACTTTGAAAGATATGAATTTATATATATTATATTACGGATTAAGAAATCACCAATAAGATACTATGCATCAATACTCAATGTTCTTTAACGAGATAAATGTTATCCACTTACTAATACGAATGGAACATTCTAGAACATTCGTTATCATGTGATTTCATCCTTCTGTAATTATCTTATCAGATCTATTTCGATAACAGCCTGTTTTGTGGATGACATCAATAACCTTAGCAAAATTACTCAGTTAAGGTTAAACAAGCGGACGGGAGGAATGGTCTATCAATTAAAACTAAACAAATGCATGTTATTACTCGCTAAGAACTCAAAATAAAATTTTAACGAGTTTTATAGCTTCAAACACTGTTTCAAAATAGAAAAGTACTCCAAAATGTTTATATAAACCCATAATATCCCATACAATTTTAAAGGTTTAACCTAATTCCCGATCGTTAATTTATCAACAACAAATTATTTTAACCAATGTATTTAAAAATTTTCTAAAATTTAGCACATTTTTCCAATTTTTTATTTTATAAAATAAGAAATATTGAAAAAAGAAAGAGTAGAAACTATTTCAGAAGATAGGAAACAATTTACGATAATAAGAGTGATAATATACTGAACTCCATGCTGGATGTTTTATCGTTTCACACGAAACATTTTACCAATTTTTAGAACATACTCCATTCTCTTTCAAAGGATATATATATATAGTTTCACATAAACTAGGGAGTGCCATGAGAGTTTAACTGCAGGTGTTTTAAGAATTATGCTAAAACTTTCAAAAAAAGATAAAGTATTTTCCATCTTTTATCGCAAATTGTCACATTTCTATGGAGGTAAGAAAGGACGGAGTAGCCAGCTTGGCACTGAGAGTGAACCACTGCTCCAAAGCTTCGGTCTCCAGATGGGGTGTTTTTTGTTTACATTCAGAAGCTCTCTTGACAGCGCTTCGATAGTATTTCGACCCACGACATTCTATACAAATCGAAAAACGGGACATTTCCGCATAAAAGAAACATTCATTATGTGATGGATAATAGCAGTTTGTATAGTTTAGTGACATTTACGCAAAAATCATATATCGATTATTTTTCGATAACTAACAACAGCGATTTTGATTATGAATTTGTTTTATAAAATTCGAAGCTGTTTAACTACAAAAATATAGATTTTAGTAAAAATGTTATGCTTAAAGAATGAAAAATACCTTACGGTACCTTTAAAATTGTATACGTCTTTTGATACCCTTAATAGAGTATTTGCCATTTTTATTTTATGTTCCAAACGCCAAATTGTTTTAAATTTGTTTTGTTATCCACATATTATTGTGACATGGACTTTTTAAAACTTTTTAGAGGAGAGGCTTTATAGTTGCTCCTTTTAAACCTCCCTTATCATTTATCCCTTATCTTATCTTTTTGATCCCTTATCATTTTATGTTATATAACTATAGAATAATCATTTAACCCAAATAAGTAAAATTTACACGTTTTACTTATTTGGGTTAATTAAAAAATAAAATTACCACCAAATGCTGCAATCCTCGTCAAAATTAATAAATATACACCCAGATATTGCCAATAAGTTAACTTTTCCTTGAATTGTAACCACACATTTGTGTAAAATTATGTACAGTTTTATACAAATGTCTGGAATAGAAGACGGATACATTTGCGAATTCGGAGGAAGTACCATGTGCGGTTAAGATGGTGTGAACGTGCCACATTATCAAGACAGCTTAATACGAATTTAAAAATAGAGTAATCCATGGAGGTGAAAACATTTGTGTATCCTGCCAAAGGAGGTCAGATCATGAATGATCTCTTATTGATTCCAGATTGTTAAATGTTTCCCACGCAAGTCTTTCTTTCTTTCTTTCTTTTTTTCTTTTTTTCTTTTTTTTTTAGTTTGAAATTTGATGGCTAAATGTAAATATAAAATTATGCATGTTAAAATATTTGTAATTAGGCACATAGGTCACGTTAAGTTTTTATTAAATAGAGTAAGGCAAGAGAGGGCTATCTGCCTAAAGGAAGAGATGCCATCGTGAAGGAATTTCGAAGAAAAACTGACCTTTGAGTGGGTATTAAAAATAATGCATGTAATTTTCATTCATATTATATTTATACATATTTCTTATGTAAAAATTTCGGGTATATGCTAAACTATTGTAAATTGCTAAATTATTGTATACCCGAAATGAAAAATATGAAATATATATGCGTATTAATGCACATGTTTGCAAAAAGCATGTATCTGCCTTTAACAAAATACGTGAATATTTATTAAATTATATATAAATGCATTTGAATTGAAGGATTTATTCATTTATAAACACCTGTGAAAGTTACTGTGAAGAAATCTAATTATTTGACAGCGCTTTGATAGTATTTCAACGGACAACATTTCCATACAAATCGAAAAACGGGACACTTCCGCATAAAAGAAACATTCGTTGTGTGATGGATAATAGAGCAGTTTGTATAGTTTAATGACATTTACGCAAAAATCCCATTTTCGTTATTTTTCGATAACTAAGTGAATTCAGAAGGCAAACAACATTAACAACAAAAATCAGCGTTTAATTTACCAAATTTTCACAGTTTCGATGGTTTTACCGAACCACCATCCTCAGCTGCAAAACCGCAAATGAACAAGATAGGAAGTAATGATTAGATAAGAAAGCCTGGACAAGAATAAGCAAGTGGCGCCATCTGTTGGTGAAACCAGAACTAAAACATAATTTCTTTAAAGGCCGAAGGCAAATTTGGATTAGAATTAGGATCGTTAACTAGAACAGGAAGATTTTTATGAATGTGAAATGCCTCTAGAAAATCCAGTTCTCCAATGGAAGATGTTTTTTGAATAATTTTGGCAGCAGAAAAATTGAAAGTGTGATTTTCGGACCAACAATGTTGAGCAACAGAAGACTTCTGTGTTTCCTTTGTTCTAACATATGCTTCATGTTCCTTGACGCGAAATTTTAAGGCTCTCTTAGTTTGGCCAATGTAAATTAAACCACACTGGCAAGGAATCCTATAAATACCCCAGGAATTCATATCTGGAATGGGGTCCTTGAGTATGGAACTCGGAAATTTTTTGATGGGAGAATAAACAACCCGAAAGTTAAATTTCTGTAAAATATGTGCAACTTTATAGCTAATTGATGGAAAGAAGGGAATGACAACAGAATTTTTATAATCTCCTAAAACAAGAGCGTGCCTTTTAGTGTGTTGAGATGAGAATTTTTTAACTGCTTGATTAATAATGTTGGGTGAAAAATAACAACAGCGATTTTAATTATTAATTTGTTTTATAAAATTCTGAGCTGTTGAACTACAAAAATATAGATGTTAGCAAAAATGTTATGCTTAAAGAATAAAAAATACCTTAAGGTACCCGTCTTTCGATACTCTTGCTAGAGCATTCGCAACTTTTATTTTATGCTCCAAACACCAAAATGTTTTAAATAAAAAAAAAAAAAAAAAGTTGTCATCCACATATTATTGCAACATGTACTTTTTAAAAATTTTTAGAGGAGAAGCTTTATAGTTGATCATTTTAAATTCATCATTTTGTTTTTATATAATTGAAAAACACTTTGGTAACACTTTTTACTTATTTGGGTTAATTAAAAAATAAAAGTACGGTTAATTTCGGATACCCGGCTCTTGGCTGAATTTGGCGATTTTTTGGCCGTTATCTTTGTTTTCAGAAATGCGCCAAAAAACCTCCTTGCCAAAAAGCGCATTTTGAAATCCAATATGGCGGCCAAAAATTGTTTCCCGGATCTGAGGGAAATGGGCAGGGAAAACAACTCTGAACTGCCAAAAAGAAAAATTTAGTGTACCTCTGTTCATGTTTACATTCGCTGTGTTTCACTAAGCAGGATACGAGAACTTAGTAATTTTAATTCATCCTAAACTTTATCGACTTTTAAGATATTTAACGAGAAATCTCAAGACATTCTGACGGTACTCATTGCAATTTTTTCAGTGTTGTATATCGTTAAGCATGATAAGAGAACTTAGTAATTTTAATTCATTCTAAATGTATAGACTTTTTAGTATACTTAACGAGAAATTTCAATTAATGAGGACTTTAGCGAGTAAATTTTTTTGCATGAAACGCTGTAGGGCAAATAAGTACTGATGGCTCAAACTGTAAACAATCCATCTATAAAGAAAATTCCAACCTGAAAACTTAATTCACATGTAATTTAGGCATTATATTATTTGTCATTTAAATTCAAAATGGAATTATATGCCATGTTTTCTAAATTTCATAATATTTTTTACACATGTATGCAGGTAAGTGTATAATAGTTAAACATGATATATATGGATGAGAAATGTAAAAATTGTAACATTTATTAAGCTATTTGTAAAATATACTAAGTTCTTTTTAAGAAACTTATTTTTCAGAATATAAAAATTTAAATTTTTTTAATTAATCAATTTAAACATATATTTCTTAACTTATTTTTCAATATGCAAGAATTTCATCTTTCTTTTTTAATTAATCAATTTAAACATACATTGCAAAATGAAGGTACTTAAATCTAGATAACATTTCTTGTACAATTTTTGTCTTCTTAATTCATACATGTGTATCCCATGAGTATGAAAGTTTCACTTTTACACAAGAAAATGTGTATCCAGGTGCTCTCAAAATTTAACATTTTCACAAGAAAATGTGTATCCAATCACTCATAAAATTTAATTTTTTCTCAAGAAAAACTGTTATAGATTCATTCCTTGTTAATGTATTCAATATTTTGTTTCACTTAACTGTTATAGATTGATGCCTGTTTATCAGATCTGAAAAAGAACAATTTTTACAAGGATTTTGCATTTGGATGTTACAAATGATTCCATTTCCACATCACCTTAGAGACTTACATGCACTTAAAAAAAGGAAAATCATTTCTTTTGCTATTTGCCTATTGAGTTTTCATACCTTTTTTTTTTTTTTTTTTTTTTTTTTTTTGAAGCATTGCCAAATTTTGTAAATTAGAGTTTTTATATATAAGATTTAGATGAATTTGTTTATAAAAAATATTTATCTGGCTAGTATCATATAATTTCCTTAAAAAAATAGGGACTATATATTTTCAAATTACTTGATGTTAAGTGCAGGTTCAGGTGATTTTTAATTAAATCTAAATTTGATAAAAAAAAGGGAAACAATAAGGAATGTGATTGATGATATTAGTTAAATAAAATAGTTACAAATAATCCCAATTTTTTAGCTAGTACATGACCAAGATGTAAGAATCCTGATGCATTTTCTAAGAGGTTTCGCTATGTGCCATAATACTCTTAATTTTTAATATGTACATATATTTTCCATTACTTACCATTGAGCACCATATTTTGCACTTTTCAGCAGTATTACTTGGCAGTTCATTATTTGCAGTTTCTTGTAGAGCAAAATAATCCTGTATAGTTTTGTAATATCATGTTTTCTAGCACTAAATAATGATTATGCATAGCAAAAACTCAGATGTGTTTCCTGAAAGAAAAACCTGCCTATACCCCCAGGCACTGGGTGTTCATCTAAGTTAATTTATCGATGTGCATCTTCCCTTGACTAAATGGCAGCAAACTCTTAATTTTTGAAGTTCCTAAAGAAAATGTCCATATTATACATATTCATAATACATGATAACTAAACAGTATTTTAGATTTCATGATCAGCGAGATTTCTGTGGCGGCATCAATTGCTCAGTTCCTTCGCTTTCATCAGTTCCTTCGTGTCCCCATCAGTTGTTTTAACTCGGATATGTTTCCTGAAAGAAAAATCTGGCTATACCCCCAGGCACTGGGTGTTCCCTGCGAGTTAATTTATCGATGTGCATCTTTCCTTGACTAAGTGGCAGAAAACTCTAATTTTTTAAGTTCCTAAAGAAAATATCCATACTATGTTCCATATTATCCATACTATGTTTCATATGTTCCATAATGCAAGATAACTAAACAAGGTCATGCTATTCATGATTCTGAGAAATAGGCAAACATGCAACACATCATACTAAACTCATCATAGTCTCAAAATAATCTCCAGCTGCTAGCAGCTGTCCAGAAAATGGAACAGGTGGTGGTTTGTGAGTGTTAGGTTTGGCAAGTAATGTTTTGTAGGCAAGTTACTAAATGGTGTCTCATGTGAGCAATACATTGAGTTACCTTGTATTACGCTAATGAAAACACAAGTTAGCATGTATATAAACACTTATGTTAAAAGTTTAGAAAGGATTTCTGATTTCCCACTTACTTATGCTTTTTCTAAGAATGTTCTTTTTGCTGTTTAGTTTTTAATCTTGTCTTAATTACATATTCCTTTGACTAGAAAATAATAAATGAACATAGTACAAAAATACACTATTACAACAAACAGATGGGGAGTTTAAGAAGTTAATAATGTAATATTGAATTCTTATCTTCGAAATAATAAATAAACATTATAATTAAAATAATAAACATAGTATGAAAATACATAATTAAAACAAACAGACTGAAAGCATTAAAATTAATAAATTCACCTGCATATTTTTTGATTGAAGATTGATTCCTTTCCATGGTAGCCTCATTTCTGCAATAAATATTCTTTACGCTAAAAGAGGAAAAAAATTATCCGTAACAATAAAATGTTCTGTGGTAAGAAGTAGGCTGAAAACCTTCAAAGTAATCAACTCACCTCTATATTTGTCAATATCTGTCAAAAATAGTTTTCTTCTTTCTTTTATTTATTTTTTAGATTACCTAATTTGCAATAAAATTTCTTTTACTGAAAAATAAGTAGTTAAACATATACTAATAATAACTAAATAAATTTTACAGTTGCTTTTACTGAAGGAGTAGTGTTACAATAAAGTGAAGCACTGATTTGAAACATAAGCTATGAATGATTAAAATTTGTCTTACCTCTGTCATAGTATTTCATGACATTTTGGATCTGCAGCTGTGATAGAAAGTTGATTTTAATGAAGGAGTAACAAAATATATAAAGAAGAGCCCTCATATCAAAATAAAAGTTGAGAATAACTGAAATACACATTTACCTATTTCTGTAAAATATATGCAACATTTTCCATCCTTTCATTTTCTGGGCTCTTTTTTTTTTTTTTTTTTTTTTTTGTTGTTGAATTCTAAAAGCAAATGAAAATAACAATTCCATGCAGTCACAAACAAAAAGGTATTTAAAACAAAATGTGTGGACCATCTGAACATTATTACACAAATTATAGTATTCAATTTACTTGTATGCTTTTCTTGTCATTTATTCCAATTTTAGAACTTAGTCTATGCTTCCTTACTCTGAAAAATAAGCATATAGATTATAATGGTATGTAGTTTAATATTTAAATGCAATTTTTAGATGTATATGTAAATATATATATGTGTGTGTGTGTGTAAATAAATATTTTATGTCAAAAATAAAGTTATATTTATTGGTTTTACCCCATTTATCATCCTCTTCCTGAATGAATGGTATATCATCATCTTGTTAGGCAGATTTCTTTGGAGGCATCAGGTGCTCAATTCGCTTTCAGGTGTTGATTCGTCCAACGTTTTAAGTTCAAGGCCGACTTTTCCATGACCTGGATACACAGCTTTAATTTCCTCTAGAAACTGAGCAAGTCTTTGTCCATCATAAACAAAAGGCTTCAAGCGGAACCACCTGTAATAATGTACAGCCATGTACTGTGTGCAAATATCATCTGTCCTCTTGCTCTTTATAGATCTCTTAAAATGTTTGTTTTCTCCTTTAAGATCATTGATGTTATTTCTTTTGTCACCAGGATCTACAAATACACCTGTAAATAAAGAATTAATGAATGTTAAGGATAAAAAGTCTCTAATTAAAAAAAAAAAAAAAAAAGACAAATATTTATCATTCTTGTTATTCGTAGTTTTATGCGTTGCTGCTGGAAATAAATTTTCTATCCTTTTACATTCTGCAGCAGAATCTGTATAAACGAAGGTAGTTTCTGGGCGAACATGACCTTTTATATAAGGCCACAAATGTTTTTTTTTTTTTACTTTTTCCATTCACTTTAAAAAATAAACCTTCTTTGTCTTCCCAACAGTAAATGCCTAAAACTACAAGTGTCATATTTTTGGTTACTCTACCATGGTTGTACTTGCGATGGGTCAAAAAATTTTCATCAAACAATTTTCCTGGACCACCTAACATTCTGCTATGATGAGATGCAAAAAACTCGCAGATTTCTCGACAGTACAATAGGAAGTCAACAATAGTCTCATTTGCAATGAGTGATAATCCTTGTTTTTCACACCACAGTTTTAATTGCTGATTTATATAGCTGAAACTGACCTAAAACAAAGTACACGATTATTACTAAGGCCTCTTGAGTTGGGATTTTTCATTCCTTCAAAAAAGGTGAATTATGCAAAAGTCAGACCTAGGAAAGCTTAATAAAGATGAAAAGTAGTTATAAGTTAAATGAAGCAATATTAGTTAATTCTAGGAAGATAGAAAAGTGAAAAGTTAAAACTAGAAAGTACTTTTAAAAAATTAAGGAAAATAAAAATAATAGTGGTGATACTGATCTATGAGAACAAAATATAAAAACAAATTTCAAGTGAAAAACAATATTAAAAAATCTAATGGATGAAAATAGATTAAAAGTAAACTTAGCTTTGGCAAAGTCCAAACCACATTTTCAAGTAAGTACTGAGGTATTGACATCTTTCAGTACCTGGAGAATTAACTGCTGCAAAATCTGATTGCGGTTGTGATAATTTCTGCTCCTTTTTTTAATTTATTGAAAATATCTTGAAAAAAAATTATATTTTACTTTACAAATAAATGTTTTTCAGTGCACATGTTTTTTAAAACATCTTTAAACAAGAAATGGAGAAGAATAATAGGTATTGATATTGCACGAATATCTGGAGATATTCGTGCAATAACAATACATCACGCACAAATATCTCCAGATATTCTAAAA